AATTCACTTAGCAAAATTGAACCGGAAAAATCAATCGGGAGAGGCTGAGAGATTGTCACGTGGCAATTTGATATTGTTTTATTAGTATAGGAGATAATTGACATTGTTAATTTTCATTACGGCTCTGCTACTCCTTATACCGATTCCAATACACACACCTAGACCCAATCAACCACACCCACTCCCATCCACCCACACACCTCCATGCCCACTCCCACTCGACCCACACCCACCACTACTCCTACCCATATCTACATTCACAACGAACACCCACTTTTTATCGGTTTTAATTTTTTTTCTAACTAAATGAACACTATTATTTATAATGTTTTCTCCAAGAGGGAGCTCATGTTGTATTCTCATGTTCAAATAATGCAGAGTGAATTTATTTTTTTATATTTTTTTGGAAGCAATGGAGAGGACCTCATGGAAGTTTTAGACCAAAATGCGGGGTCAAGAAGTTTCTTATAAATTGATCAATGGTAAAAACGATTGGGGATATCCTGAGAACATTACTTATTGTGGATATAAATCATGTGTAAGCAAAGCCATTTTCGTTTTGCGAAGACTACTTTTCGTTTTGTTGATGGAAACATTGGGTTATCATTATAAGTTTGTAGTGTTTAAAGTTAATGGGTAACAGTTTGCCTACGTATCGTATTTGAACTCGTTTATGGTTAAATGATTTATGTTGATGTTTTAATAGAAACCTAGATAAATATGGTTATAGTTAAATATATAACTTATGGTTCATACTATTCATAATATATATATTGGGAAAATGTATCTGAATATATATGTTAGGAAAGTAATGTTGACTAAATATTCTATTAATTTATTTTTGTTGAAGACAATGTTAAGGTTCAATCACCGATGTTACTTAGACCTTCAAGAGTTTTGGAAAGAATTTGTTAAAAATACATTTTCGGGTGCTAAGCACTGAATGTGGGTTTGTCGACTTTTTTAACTATTAATATTTATAAATCATTGACTACGGGTTTGCTATCATCACACATTCCACAAATGAACCATAATCCGGGTTTTCACAAAATATAGACGATAGACCGTTCAAACAGACCATTCTAAGATTGAAGTATGTAAGAGTTTCTATAGTGTTTTGATATGACTCCCTCATATTATGGTTGTGCCATGGATAGATGGATTTGTAAGTGTGAGTATGCTAGGTATCGTCAAAGCAGGTTTGTAAGTCTTCTAAAGCCAGATTAGATTACATGATGGTAGATTGATGGTAAGAACATATACCTTAACATGGATCACATGGAGCTTTGGTGGTCATTTTAAGAACGAAACATCGGTGGATGGATATTAGAGAGTTTGTTTCTATAAATAGCTTCTAATGTGAGTATTCCTACGTCGAGTAAGAGGTTAACAACCATCAAGTGCCTCTTCTCCGGTCACGACTCTCTCATCTGTGGATTATTTCACATGATTTTACTAGTTACCACGGATTTCAAAGTTATTGGATGATTCTCAACTATTCTTGGATGGTTTCGCAGCCACGTATTAGAAACAGTGCCAAGTGTAGAACATAAAATAGGCGATGGGTAGAGATCAGAGCTACCGTCGACAGTAGTGTGTGTGTACAAGTGGTGTGAGTGGGTCACTTTTTTTTATTTAAAAAATTCTCTAAATAATTAGGAGATAAATAAAAGAAGAGTAAGGAAATCTAAAAAAAGTTAAAGGGTGTACTAGTCTTTTCAAGTCGTTAAATGATTAAAACCACATAATTACTTGATTTTGGATATTTTGTGTAAATTAAAAACTTTTTGGACCCTATCCACATGTTTTTTTACTACCACGGGGGACCAATTTTATAGTTTTGTCTATATAGAAGTAAGTTCAAATAAAACATTAAATAATGTTAAAACGTAAAAATACTATGTTTATGTTATTACTAGTATATAACCCGTGAGAACTACGGTTATAAAATTAATTAAACTTTCATAGTATAACTTGAAATTATTAATCAATTATTTCAAATAAATCATTTAAATAAATTATTAATTAAGAGATATTTTTTTAGTTATATAAAATATATAAAATTATATCACCTTATACTGTTTATTAATTTAATTTTATTTTTATTCTAATGTTATTAATTTGATGTAATTAGAATGTAAAATTTAAATTTTGAAATTTAAAATGAAGAATTAATAATCAAATATTAATTTAATGTGATTAGAGTGAAAATTTTAAAATTTAAGATTTAAAATAAAGAATTAAGAGGTTGACATGTGACATATAATATTAATGAGATTTTCTAATATTAAGACACCTTTTAATAGGATAATAAACTTATTTATTTATTAGAATAGGAAGATTCTGCAATGAATGTTGTATACATGTGTATTATTAAATTAATTATAATGTTATCTATTAATTGTTGAAAAATGATATAAAGTTGTGGATACAACAAAAAAAGTAATGTTTTTTATATTTTCACACTATTTAATATATATATATATATATATATATATATATATATATATATATATATATATATATATATATATATATATATATAAATTAATGCATATATGGATTCACAATGTTTATATAAACGTAATTTGCATAGTTATTTAACACGATACTTGATATACATCATGAGATATATAATGTTAAGACAGGTTAGTGTGGTCACCCATTTCATTATATTTTTGGTTGCTATTTCAATGGTGCTATATAATTTTTTAAACAACCAACAACAAATATATTAAAACCCTAGCAAGACACTAAAGGAAAAGAAATAAAAATCTTACAAATTTTTAAGATGGAATTACATCCAATAATTCCAATTAAAAATAAACTTTCTATATCTATTACTAATCCAAAGAAAAAAATATTCTCTTATAGAGTCAACAATACTATCCTTTCTCATCTTTCCGCCTTCAAAAACTGTATCGATACAAAACCTCCATAAGTACCAAAGAGTCGTGTTAACCCCCGTATCTATCATTTTTCTTTTATTGGCGTTTCGTCTAATCGTATCAGTTAGATCAAATAAACCATTAATGCAATCAAAGGAGATAAGTTAAATGTCTAACCATTTGAAAATTGCATCTTAAGTTCTTGCAGTCACCTCACATTTAATGAACAACTAGATGGGTAACCCCGTGTTGCGGGGTCCGAATTTGTGAATTTTTTTTGGTCCTAACCAAATTAACTGTATGTAGGGATAGTTTTGTCCAAAACCGTTAAACTAAAAAAACAAAATTAACTATAAAAACACTATGTAGCTTGGTCCAAAAATCTTAAAATCAAATTTTTTAACTATAGATTATTTTTTGCATATAGATCAGTTTAGTGTTAAATAAAAACTACGCATATATTCATGTAGAACTTCCCTCAACCGACAAAAGCATCGATCTTTATAATTATTATAGCAGGAACACATCAATTATGGGTTAGAAAATGGAAACAATACCTAGGACCAAATGCACATAGTTTACTCAGGTGCTTTCTCAGGAATCATTACAGATGCTTCGGGTGTTAGTTGTTGGTTGACCGGGTTCATCATTGAAATGTAAACAATTTTTTTAAAAAGAAAGTATAGATTGTTACTGCAAATAGGCAAAAAAAAGTAAAGATAGGTGATTAGTGAGTTCTAACGCATAGATAAACTATATGTGCAATAAAAAAAAATTAAAATACAAAGACATATAGCTTCATAACCAAAAGAGAAGCCTTAGCAGTTAAATGAGATGCTAAAGCAAAAGCATATAAACTCTTTACTACATAGGTCCATAATACCTTCAATTTGACTAAACAACTTGGCAAAATTCAAACTGAAACCCAGATTAACAACTAAACGATCTTTTTCCAATAGATTATGGACAACTTTTTCATAAAGAAGCTGACGTAAATGTTTAAACTTCAATTCGACTTCTAACCAATTCGAAAACTTCTATTCTCTACTTCCAGATCAACGCAACTATAGGCAAGTAGAAACGGAAATTATAATTTTTCAAATAAGCAAAATTGATTATACATAAAGTGATAAACTACCTGTTGATAATTAGGGGAACTGAACCAATTAATATGAAATGCCAAAAAATAGTATTCAACAACTTAATTTCATCCTGTTCACTCATAACATTGAACAGAGTCGGTTATTCCACAGAATTTTTAAGAAATTTGACTAATAAAACATTCAATTATGCTAAAACATACCAAAGAAAACAAAATTTGTACCAAATTCTAGAAAAAGGCGTTGGTAGCAGTGTTGGATCATTGGTGGCTTCAAATTAAAGAAAACCAATTTATTTCCTAAAATACTTCTGTAGCATATAACCCGCACATTTATGGAACCTTGTGTTAAGAATCAATCTTATTAATGCATTCATTATTTGAGGTTTCTACTGTTTTTGTATGAGGGCCCACATAAATAGATGCTGTGACTGCCACTGCCACCGTATCCATATTGTTGGAAATACATCTTTTGACCTTATTGCTAATCTGACAACAAAAAACATTATGTTGTTTAGTATGTTGTATATTTCTTAAAATTTGATAGAAATGTCAAATACGTACTTGAATTGTAATGCCATTTGTGGTCTTTATGCTGGAATGATTAATATATAAACTCAAGCATTTGACATGATGGCCCAACAATATCCATTCCATAATCCTAAGTAAAAAACAAATATGTGAAAAGTCAAGAATCATGAAAAATATAAATAAACAAATATGTGAAAAGTCAGCAATATCCATTCCGTTCCTATGGTCCGTTGATGGGTTCGAGGGAGGAGCAGCGATTAGGGTTGTTTTACAAAGAAGGCAACTGCATTAGGCAAATCACTAACAAACTTTCTGCAACTTCAAATGAGACCTGTTTATTGTTCATTGCTTGTCATATGTGAAGCTCATATGATGTAGTAATATATATTCAAGAAGATGGGTTACTTTGTTTGTTGATCTTTGAAGTAAAGTATAAAATTTGATACCTTGTTGGCCAATCCTTAGGTAGCATCAAGAGCATTGGCCTTATTACTTGTATAGGGCTGGGGATGATGAAGCAAACAACTTATCCTTAAATTTCATGTCTTCCTACAAAGCAATTGAAACACAATTTCAGTCGAGAATCCGTATTGTAATTTCTATACACAAGAAATTAAGCATATGATCAATTAAAATTCATACACAAATGAGAGTGACCAGACCGATGCCGACAAAATCCTCCAAACTGTTGACTTTTTGATGTGTGTGATTTAGAATTGGAACCATCAGTGCCAAAAATCCGACTAACAAAGTTCGGAAGAATGATTTGAGTAGAATAATGAATAAAAGAATATGAAAATTTTCAAAGGAGAGCCTGTCCATGGAAGTTTGAAATTAACGATACGAAAATAAGGTTAAATTAAAGGCCTAATTTTGCGAAAGGCTAAGAGATGACTAACCTGTAAATTGTAGTCCTTGTTTTGGGATCATCCGTTTTTTCTCTGACCAGAAAAACATGTCTCTCTTTCTGTAATCCGTGAGTGTGGGTTAGATAGAAAATAAGGTTCAAGTATTCAATCGAACATTTGGTGTGCAGAATGAAAGTTACCTGTATAATAACTATTATGAGAACTGTTTTACTTACATGGGTAGTCAAGGAAGAGGAACCTTAAGTTTATGTTCCTGATAGTTGATTTGGGCATGAACCCGATTCAAGATCCAACCCTATACAGCAAACCAAAAACATAACAAAATCATTAAAGGGTATTTTAGGGATTTTAGAATACAAACCCATCTCATCTTTTAAAGTTTTCCTTAGCTAAAAATGGCTAATACAAGAAATATAGCTTACCTGACATCAAATTGAGATATTACAGTAAAAAATTCAGAAATATTTACGAATATTATTGATAATTCCACATAGCCACATACCTTCTTTGATTATTTTTGTAACTCTTTTTAGGTGACCATGTTTGACTCGACTCTGTTTTAGCTATAAATCTACTTGTCTCGAGTATCCAATTCGTCACCTGTATGTTATACAACTAATATGAATAGTTAATACATTTTTTATCCTATTAAATATTAAGTTAAAATATGAGTACCATCAGAGAAAAAATATGCATTTTATTCAAAAAAGCATGCAAATTTTGCCAAAAATTTAATCCGTATATGAGCAACTTGTGCAATAAAGGGTACATCTATTCCTGACATTTTATGAAATATCATGCAAAATTGTCAAGCCCATAATTTCTAGAGTAAACTACAATTTTTGTCCATTTCATAAGATATATATATATATATATATATATATATATATATATATATATATATATATATATATATATATATTCTCTAAAAAGGAATCTTGTTTCTTTATTAGTCCTTATGTTAACATTTTGTCATATTTTTGGTCCTTGAAACTCTGTAATGGATGGAGGGCAAAATGGTCATTTGGCAAGGTTTAGCTTTAACCGCCTAAAAATCATGAAATCACCTTGGCCTATGGTAAATGAATGTAGCAAGATGAATGTAATGCGATGTAATGCTGCCACTTCCTGGTCAAGCTCTTCCATCAATAATCCCAAAAGATGACAGCTCCTGATCATTAATATACTTTATATTGTGTTTAGAAGATCAAACATAGATAAAAAGGAATTGAATTGAGGTAAAGAGTATTCCAGTCTATCAAAGTAAACATATCCTAACAAAATCCAACACAAAACAACAAAATAAGTAAATATTCTAGTAAAATTACAATGGAACTATTATAGTAAGCACCTGAAGTTGTTGTAGACTTCTTCAACTCGGTTTTGGTCTGTCACATAACAACCCCCATAAACGAAAAATCAGTTCAATTACTCCCTCATCTCTTCTTGTAATGAGTAATAACAATTCCAAAAATCTATAGTCTTTCATATAACAACTCAATAAAATAAAACCAAATAATTAGTAAGAAACTATACATGTTTTTTCTGCTTTATTAGTTTCAATCTGACCTATGTTGATGTCCACATCAAAGTTGCATAAGAATGTAGAAAACAGATCAAGTGTCACTCATAAGGAAAATCATCTGATCACATAAGAAAAACCCTCATACACGAAAGCCCTACACAAATGAAGTGACAAAACGGAAACATATGAACCAAGCAGAAATCAATCTAAAAAAGAAATTCCAAGCTGTAACCTAGTAGATCCCAGTTGTAACCTCCCAGATGAAGAAGATTAAGCAAAAGGCCGGCAGCTACCTCGATCGAAACCGACAAATTGACTGTAACTATTTTTAATTTCAAAAATGTTATAAACAGACAAAAAATTAAAAATGTTTTTTTTTGTTATTTGGTTTACACATTTCTTCAAACAAGTGGTGGGCATAGATATGAAGACACACATAGAAACAAAATTAACATGTAATCGGAAGTAAAAATCCACAGTAAAATGAAATTGTAACGCCCCGATTCTCAAGTACGGTTTTAATAAGATTTCTTGGGTTAGGGCCTACTCGACGAGTTTGTCGCACTACTCGTCGAGTAGTAGCAGGGTGGGATCGCGTGATAAGTTACCTACTCGACGAGTCCATATTGGGACTCGGCGAGTAGGTGCTGGCAGATGAAACCATAATTCTTGGGGTTTTACACCCTATTTAAAGCAGCCTCAGCTCCTTTGGTCCTTTTTACAGTTCTAGAGAGCTCTTGTGAGACCCTAATCCGTGTGTGTGCCCATTTGTGTTGAAGCTTGAAAAGAGGATCTTTGGAGGGAGAAGGCTTGGAGGATAAGGGGATTGGAGCAAGTGGAGTGTGGGAATGAACACTTATCTCAGTTATTATCTTCTAGAGGTACCCAAAACGCCATTTCCTTGTAGATCTCTTATATTGGTTGAGTTCTAGGTTTCTTTTATGGAATGTTAAGTTAATGACTTGAGCTATGGGCTAGATCTGAAGTTGTAACTTCAGATCTAGACTCTCCTTGTATTATAGAAGCATAAAGTTGCAGTCTTGGGCATGATTGAGGTCGCTTTTGAGCATGAAGCTCCTTGAAGAACTTTAATAAGCATTTAGAGCCTTTATAGCTATGCATGCACGTAAAGTTTGCAACTTTACGTGATAAGCATGCCCTAGAAGCTTGGATACGTGATTTGGAGCCGCTGCATGGCTCAAATCAAGTCTGTTGAAAATGAGGAAAACATGAACTCAAAGAGTCGCAAGGTTGACTCGACGATTCCTATGAAGATAGCCGTAGACTCGACGAGTTGGATGATCAACTCGGCAAGTCCGATGAAGATTGCAATAAACTCGACGAGTTGAAGAACAACTCAGCGAGTCGGATGAGATTTCCCCAAGTTATGAATGCATGTGTATGCGTTGTGTTTTTAGAAGGTAACCCGACATGTAGTCATAAGGGTTCGATCGTAAATCGTTAGAACTCGGCGAGTCACCCCGGTGACTCGGTGAGTGGGAAGAAGTTTTAGGATACTCGGTGAGTTAAGGGCAACATGGACTGTTGGCCTTGACTAGGTACTTTGACCTTAATCAGGGGTAAAATGGTTTTTATACGCTCAGTTCAGTTATCAGTACCTGACCTAGTGTTTTGTGGGATTTGTAGTCGGACAGTTCCGGAGCAGCAGCCAGCCTACGTTAGAGTTAGCATCTCAGCAGCCAGCGTTACGAAGTGAGTTTTCCTTCCAGTAGGAACGGTTCTAATGCCACAATGCCGACCCATCTAGTTAGCAGTCAGTTCTGGACTTTGGTTTGATGCAGTAGTTTAGTGTGCTTGATGTCTTTGTGATTCGAGCATGTCTTTATGTTATGTGTTCCAGAATTCTGTCCGATATAGTATGCAGTATATGTGTTTATACTAGTTGAATTGTTTATGCTATGCTATGTTATGCTTAGTCAGTTTCCGGACTTTGGTCCGATGTAGGGGACAAGGTCCCAGTCAGTTTTGGATTTTGATCCGATGTAGTTAGTTCCGGACCTCGGTCCGATGCAGGGGACAACGTCCCAGTCAGTTCCGGACTTCGGTCCGATGCAGTGGGCAAGGCCCAATATGTGTTTATATGATTGTATGGTATGTGGTAGTCTGGGGGAGCTCATTAAGCTTTGTGCTTACAGTTTCAGTTTTGGTTTCAGGTACTTCCTCAAGCAAAAGGAAGGGCTCGGGATGATGGCATTGCACACACCACAACTTCATCTTTTGTCCTGGGAGTTTATTTCATATACTATGATATGTTGTTACAATTCTTTTGTTATGACATCTTTATTATAACTTTTAGGATTTATGATGTACGATTTTATGATATATTATAGATCGTTGATAACCTTAGTATTATTTAAACGAAAAATTTTGGGTTGCATTTTGGGTTGTTACAGAAATTAACATGGAAACTTATAGCCATTAAAGTCAGAGTTCTGTCGATAGGTTCTTCTCCACAGGTGAGAAAGGAATCAAACTAACCCAATAGTGATGCTTGTCTGCAATCGTCCTCCTCCATTATCGTTTGAGTGATTTGAGTGAGTCCGGTGAGAGTGATGGTCTTTATCAAGCCCTAATCTCAGGTCCAGATGAGGCGGCTGATGGTGGTAGTGATCGAGGTAAAAAAAACGACGACGGTGGCGTTGGCCTCTATCAGCATTTTCTTGGGCTGCTTCTCCACCTATGCCGACTCCTTCCGTCATCAGAATATTGGAGTGAACTCCTTCCGTCACCACCTTTGGAAACAAAAAAAAAAAAACAGCAGGAACCAAACAAACAAAACAAAACCGAACACAAACCGAAGATTTTACATGCAAGTACACAAACGAAGAGAAGAAAGAAAAAGGAGAAGATGGATACGGTGAAAACTGAAACAAAAGGCAAAGGCGTCGGCTATGGTGGAGTGATAGAAGCGAACTCAACGAGTGATCGATTGCACTCTTCGGTGGTATAACAGAGGAATCGACAACTCAGAACTCCTATGAGTTCTGAGTTGTGTATGGAAGAGTGGAAGGATCGGGAAGCAGAGGAAAAAGAATAGAAGGTTTGGATAAGGAATGGTGGAAGGAAGAAACTGGAAGGATCGATTACCTACAGGTGTGGGGATAAAATGACCGGCAAACCGACACTATTCCTAAAGATGGTCATCTTTTATATATATATATATATATATATATATATATATATATATATATATATATATATATATATATATATATATATATATATAAGAATTGATCCAGTTTCTCTACTTCTAAGTTACAAATCGTGCATAAAGTACTTGGAATATAAATTCCACGGTGATCGAGATTACTCCTTGTCAGCAATCTATTTAAGCGAATTCTCCACTTGGCAAATTTTTTGATCGATCCACCTTCTAGTATTTGCTATAGTAAAAACCCCATTTTTTCCAATATTCCACATCCAACTATCACCTTTATCTATCAGATGAACATCCGAAAGGACATTAAATAAATCAACAAGTTGAGTGTTTTACTCCTCTCCTCTAATAGGACGTCGCCAACACCAAGTCCAACCATGACTCAACTTTTTATCCCGAATATAATAGTTTGGCTCCGTCTCTAAACGAAAAGACAAGGAAACCGAGAACATAATAATTGGTCACCAATCCAAAGATCATTCCAAAATTGAATACTAGACCCGTTGCCAAGTATTCTTTTTAACATGTCAGCTAGAACAATATCCTTTTCCTTCAATCGATTAAACGAAGCGACAATTTTAGCCCACAGGGCATACCTATGAGTTATATTTGTACCTAGCTCGTAACCTCCTTTAACTCCATAAATAGCTTTTATAACCTTAACCCATAGTAGATCATTACATCTCAAAAAACGTCATCTCCATTTTTGAAGGAGAGTAAAATTAAAAGTCGTTAAACTTTCGATATTTAACCCCCATTCTCCATTTTTGAAGGAGAGTAAAATTAAAAGCCGTAGAAACTTTCCAACCCAACATTTTCCTCTTAATTTTTTTTTTCAAAAATAGGCTTCCAAGCATTTACAGTGTTCGTTTTTTGACCAACTGGATGACCCAAGTAAGTGAAAGATAATTTTCCCGGCTTACATCTCACAATTTTCAAGTACTCAACCACTTCATCCAACTTAACACCAATACCAAAAATATTAGATTTTTCCAAGCTAATCTTCAAACCAGAGACTAAATAGAGACAATAGAGAATTGCAACCATACTAACCATGTTAGCCTTATTCCAATCTTCTAGGATAATCACTATTGGATTAGGTGTCTAAGCCTATAACTATAATTGATATATACTTGAATTGATAGTAGCACAGTCCTTTAGGGTTGCCCTCATAACTAGCAACTAGATAGGATGAGTTTTGGAGAGAGGATGGATTTATTATTTGAATAATAAATTGAAATAAATGATTTATTAATGTATTATGAAAATAATATATTAATTAAAAATCATATTATTTAATTAATATTTAATTAGAAATTAATTAGAATTAATTTTGAGATTAAAAGAATTAATTAAAAGTAGGCGATGTTTGACAATTATTAATAGTTAAGGAAAGAGGCTCTAGAACCTCCTTAGAAAGGCTTGGACGAAAACTTCTAGGAAGGCCCTAGAATTTTCGTCCAAAGGGTCTTGGATAAGGATTATTGGGCTGCTTGGCCCTTAAGCTAAGGAATTAGGGTTTCCTCCTAAAACCCTAGCTTTGGCTCTAAGCTACCTCACTATATAAAGACCCTAACCCCTTCACAATTTCGGCCACCTGAAACCCTATGAAGAGCAACAAAAATTTCTATCTCCCTCATCCTCTCTCCTTTCTCACTCTCTTGCCAAGTTTGGGTGTGATCTACTAGAGGTTTGACACTTGTAACACTTGGTCTCAAAGTTCAAGAACACTAGGAATTCATTGTTATTACAATATAACAATTAAGGTATGTATTTTATCCCTAGTTTTATGATTTTTCGAAAATAACATATACCTCCTAGAGTTTTCCATTTGATGTTCATTAGTTGTATGTTCAGTTAGAGAAAATATAGATCCAAGAGTAGGGTTGCATGTACACATAGGAATTTTGTTTATTATGCTCAAAACCCATCAGTGGTATCAAAACCTTGGCTTGTTTTCTATTGAATTGAATGCAACTGTTTGAATTTGATCAATTAGGGTTTATGTCAATTAAACCCTTTGGACTTAGGGTTTTTCGCAATTTGGGTTTCTTAACCTTAGATTTCGAAAATTTGGAAAAGGGTTTTAACCCTTTCCATTGTACTACAAGTTTTGAAATATAGGGTTCCTTAACCCTCTTAAATTTTGAAATATGGCAAGGATTGAAATCCTTGCCTTCCTTCCCAAGATTTGCCTATTTTCGAAAATTAGGGTTTCATGATAGGGTTTTCTTAATTTTGGTAATTATCTCTTTATGTGATTAAATTTGAATTAACCCTCCTATGTTTTTCGAAAATTAGGGGGAGAGGATTAGGTTACATTATTTTGATTAATTTAATTGGATAATCCTCAAATGGTTTAATAAATTAATTAAAGGTTTAACTAAGAGACAATTATTAAATCAATTTTTAAATTTAAATTAAATTGTTTTAATTTCAAAATTTAAAAAGGATTTTAAATACCCTAGTATTTTGAAATGTTTAAAATATACCTTATACTATATGTAAAATTAAATGTTTAATATTTACTATATGTATAAGACAAGTCAGTTGAACCGCTAGTACACCTCATTCACGAAGCCGATCTATAAGTGAAGTTTAAGGAAGCGACCCATAAAATGACCGCCATTGGGTATCAACTCTTACCCACCGCTCCCTTGATTAGGGGATGGTTGTTAGCCGAACGGGTTTGATAGGACAAATAGTTATCATTAATAAATATAATGAAATTATAAAGTAACTAAATGTTTTTTTTATAAAATTCTTAATCTTAGTTACTTTAGGAAAAATGTGAATTTGATGCTAATCCATGAAATTGCAAATTTCACTTTATATAAGTCGTTAGTGGAGTGTGTGTGGTTAACCTACACACTAATATGGACTAATAAAGGGTGGCGATAGGTGTCTCGTAAATTATCATTGATTAATGGAGAGTTTGTGGGTAATCGACACATTGATTAGATGATAAATGACATCGAGAGTACCAAGCTATTTTCATGGTTCTTCACATCTTGTTTGTGATCCACGGTATCCCAGTCACAAATGGAAGAGAATAGTTGAGATTAAACATGCCATTGAATAGTTCAATGATTCTTAAAAGATCTAAGAATTTTATTAAAAACTTGATTCGTTTAAAATTTTGTTTTTTGTGGTGCCATTGGTAAATCGTCATTTACCTATATTTATTTTACAATTAGATTACGACATCCCTTTTCTAAGCTGTGAAATATATGGTTGGATCCTAGCCTTAATATTTCATTTGGGTTTTATACTGAGGATTACTCCCATCTAACCTAAAACTTGTCCTTCTTCATTTTCAGATGTCAACTCCCAACTATACTTCTGGTTCCTCATCCAACAATAACAACATCTCTAACAACAACTTATCGCTTCTGAATATCTGCTTGAGAGTTACCTTTGATGGCACCAATTATAAGGATTTGATGTGTAACATCAAGATGGATCTACGTTTTGAGGACAAGGAGTATGTGCTCGAAAAGGAACTTCTCGAGATCGACTAGATTCAAGCTACTGTCGCAAAACTACCTGGGTATAGGGATCACTACAATGATGCAACCAAAGTGGCATGCATCATGGTGGCTACTATGACTCTTGAGCTCCAAAGGTTCTACGAGGATTACTGGCCATACGAGCTGAACAAGGACTTGATGGAAAAGTACCACCAACGAGCTCGTCAAGAAAAGTATGAGGTAGTAAAGTCCCTCATCACTAGCAAGATGAATGATGGAGAGTCCGTTAGTAGCCATATGCAAAGAATGCAAAGATACGTGGAGCGCTTGCTAAAGCTTAATGTGAACTTTGATTAGGAATTCACTATTGATATAGACTTTCACTCATTGCCCAATTTTTATGATCCGTTTATTCTAACTTATCATTTGAACAACCAAGAGACCACAATGGCTTAACTTTAGAACCTCTTGCGAACTGCTGGAGCAGGAATAAAGGGAAAAAAATGTTGCCTCCACCCCTACTATTGCTCATGTCTTGGCCATTGGGCAAGGAAAATAGAAGAAGAGGAAAGGTCCTCCTAAACAGAATTGGAAGGGAAAGTCCCAAGCTGGGTCCTCAAGTAATAGACCTAAAGGAAAGGCCAGTTTTGATGCTCCTCCCGCCTCTGATCCTAAAGAGGCTACGTGCTTTTACTGCCATGAGAAAGGGCATTGGAAACCAAGCTGCACCAAGTACCTGCAAGACATAAAGGATGGCAATGTGAAGCCAACCTCGGTAGGTATTTATACTATCTTATCTAAAAACTTATCATATTTTCATTGGTCCTTGATACAGGATGTGGGTTTAACATTTGTTCTGATTTATAGGGGCTAAGAAAAAGTAAGGATGTGGAGCATGGGAGAATGAACTTGATCATGGGAAATAGGAGATCGTCACCTGTTACCAAGATTGGACTTTATAACTTAGTGCTTAGTAGTGGGTTGTGTTTAGATTTGAATACTTGTTGCTACGCATCAGAGATGACATGAAACATCACTTCATTTCATGCTTTATATAGACAAGGTTTTAGAT